TACAGTGGTTTGGTATATTACTTTCTTCTGCAAGCAATTGCCATTTAAGGGACATTCATTCTTTATTCTGCAGTTACACATGGGTTTAATTTGTTTAGGTGGTTTGTTGATTGTTTTAATGTTGTGTTTTTTTATTATTTGTGTCATGTTCTTGGTGCAACTGTTGCTGATTTTTACTGTGTTTTTGCTGAATATCTTGTGGAGAGTGCTTGATGTGGAGGAAGTGTTTGTGTATGAGTTTAATGAATATTTTTCCTACATTAGTTTTTACATTTTTGTTATATGGTGGGTTGTTTCTCTTCCTGTTAGCATTTATTTGTGCTGTGTGCTATGTATGTGAGTGTTGCTAGGAATCCACTATCTTTTAGGGCTGCTTCATAGTCTTTCTTAGTTTTGTTGAATATGGTTTCATTGGAAGAATTGTTGGAAAGTTTGCAGTTAATTGATTGTGGCATCTGCTTGATTATTGATGGTGAGTGGTTGGAAGATACATGTATATATAGTGGAAAATAACGTAATCCAAACAAATAAATATAAGGATATAATCAACAAATTAACAAACCACACACACACCAAAATAACCATTAGAATAACACAATAGACTACACACAATGCATCACTGACCGGCATATATAAAAAACCAAGCAAAAACACAATACACATGGCCCAACAATTGTGTTTAGTATGAAACAGACTGTTTTATTATATATATATATATATATATATATATATATATATATATAAAGAACAGTAAGATATATAATCCGGTGTTCTCATAGATATTTTTATTTTTACAAAATAGTGCTCAATATAAATTTACAGAGCATTAATATTATAAATTACCTGATTTAAAATATGATTTTTTTTCGCTACATAGTTGTAACCATGTTTCAAAAATGGAAGGTAAAAGCTTAGAATTTAATTTTGTAATTAAATTAAAGACATTAGTTCCATTTCATCCTCAATTGAATTTTGGAGTAACTTATTTTTAAATTTACTGGGTTTTAAAGGCACGGCAAAAATTATAATTTACTGTTTCCAAGGATACAGAGAAATCCATTCATCCAGACAAGGGGTTGGTTGCGTGTTCATTTCATTTCACTGTATTTTGTTATAACAGTTATTAGTTATGTTTGAAAAAGAGTTACGTTTAGGTAGGGGTAGGGATGTATTTTTCAACGAATTTTGGCATCCGTTAGATGCTTGCTGTCTGGATTTTTTTTTAAATTTATTGTTAACGGCAAAAATTCTTACGGCATTTTTTCTATTTGTATACTTAAAGGTTTTTTGGGGATGCTTAGGTTAGAATACATTTTATTTAAAATATTTTCACTTTTAATTTTTAAATATTTTCATTTTCAATAGACTATATTTCTTTTTAAAACGAGTAATTGTATTAGAATTACTTATATATATACATACATATATATATATATATATATATATATATATATATATATATAATAAGAAAGTTAATGGTCATCATTGATTTAGACCAGGAAACTGTACTATTAAAAAGTATTCGATGCACACATGCAACACTCAGAGGCAACAGGCTGTTTCATGCTAGACGCAATCATCAGGCCAACACAATCAGCATATAACTGTCTGACTGAAATATATTTATAAATAGTTTCTCTGCATATTATGCTATTTTTTTAGAGTAAATTCAGTTAAGTGGTGCTACATTTTAGGCAATCCAAATTTGCTTCAGGCAAAATGGCAGTTTCTTTTAGTTGTTTAGGAATTTGAGAAAATTCTGTCTTTAAAGGTTTTCATGATAACTTCATGATATAATTTGAAATAAAACACATTTCTTTATTATAATTTTTGTTAACTGGATTCTTGTGTTTTATGTATGCCATATCTAATGGCTTCCTTGCTCTAGAGTCATAAATAATCAAAAATTTTCTAAATGTCTAGAGTCAAGTTGAATTTGCAAATCATTATTGCTGTCTTGAGTTCAACACCTCACACCTTTGGTTTTGTTTCAGATTAAGATAATCTTAGTAAATAATCATATTTCCCAAGATTAAAGACACACCCAAAATTAGCCAGCAAAAAAAAAAATGACAAAGAGCTTTCCCTCAAAATATTACACTGGGTCGGTTAAGTTGGCTGATTATATGACATGACAACCTTTGTTTGGTTGCAAATCAGTCATTTTTTTTTTTTGCTTTTTACTCTCTAAGCAAATACCTGTTTCAAGAATAATTAAATATTGAGTATTTATATTTGAGTCTGTTAGTAGGTACTTCATTTGAGGATAGGTAAATACTAGTCAGCTTATGGCCACATCACATTGAAACACCTGTTCCTGTACAATCACTGAAGTTGAGCAACATCAAATCAGAGAGCTGAATTCCAATTCCAGTTGGGTTCATTATACTCACAATACCCTTGAGAAATTTATGAATCCAATTCTTCTCACTGAAGTTAAGCAATGTCAAACCTGGTCAGTACCTAGATGGGTGACTGCTTGGGAATAACAGGTGCTGTAAGCTTGGATGTGCAGGTAGTGTAATGGATAATGGATTAGAAATGTTAATTAGAGAGCCGAGTTCCAATTTCAGCTGGATTTGTTATACTCACTTACATGCTATGTTATGTAGTGGTTTCACAGTGGAGGCTTGTATTTGTACTAAGTCGGTCCTAAAATAGGTTCGATGTACAAAACATTAGGAACTTCATATAATAGGTAATGACGCAGTAATCTAGTTGTGGTGGCTCATACTTTAATATCTGACTAACGGTTGTCCAACATCGACTGACTAACCAACTCACTGCCGACTGACTTGTTACTCTTACTACTCCTACTTATTATAAGTGGGAGAGTCTATTAACTATAGAATAGGTGTGTTCCACTATAACACATGCAAATACCCTTGGAAAAGATATGAATCCACCTCTTCTCTCCCCAGATATGGGTTAATTAGTACTTGTATCACTAAATCATTATTATCGTAAGAAAAAAATTGTATTCAAAATATTTAGATTTATTCCTAATGAAGAAAATGTGCTTTCCAGCAGGAATTGAACCTGCATCCCTCTTTGTAAGAGAAACCACTGTTTGACCCAGTGTGCTTTACCGCTTTGTTACAAAGAGCATCGTAGTTCGTCAAGGCTCTATTTGGTGAGGAAGTGAAAGGGAAAACAGAGCCTTGCTGAACTATGACACTCTCTGTAGCCATGCGGTAAAACACACTGGATTATATTGAGTGGAGTTTCTTTCTTACAAGAGGAAATGCAGGTGATTCAACTCGATGGAAATAGCATTGTGTGTACTAGCAGTAAATGTCGAAACTGGTGGAACTAAAGAATGGGACTTATCTGAACATTTGACATGGGATAGTGATAGATTCTGCAGCTGTAGAATGGAAAATTAGTTATCTCCTACAAGACCATGCAAATGATCTTGAACTCTATCAAGGCTGGAAAGTCAGGAGTGTGTAGCTCCAGTCCATATATGGCATCAATACTCCATTTTTTGTTTAATCTGATCTTGTGAAATTAAAGCATGGCAGAAAGAGTCATGTATTAGGTTGGTGCAAAAATAATGACGTAATGATGTCGTTTTTGACGTATTTTTTAACATCAAAAAACGACATTCTTACGTCATTATTTTTGCACCAACCTAATACTTTCTGGAGTGATACAAATTATTGTTAGCTAAAATGCTGGAAATAAAAATTAATCCAATAAATTTAATATTTTCTAAATATTTCACTTGACAACCATATTGCATCATACCTTCACAGCTAGGATCCACCATGCCACTTACATAATAGCAAACTATCCTCATTCCCTCCGTATTCCATTAGTGAGAAGTAAGTTTCACTCAAACAGCTTCTTTCTGTGAACCACTGTTCTATGGAACAGACTCCCAAGAGGATGTTTCCCTGATCACTACAATCTTAACCTTGTTGATTTGTCAGGAAGGAAACTTCCAGATGTTATTGGACTGGAATGGTCGATCCCAGCATTTGGCAACTTTGGCAAATGCCTGAAAACCATACCACTGGTTGACCTAGTGAGTGAAATTGGGCTGACAGAAACCTTGGGGCCATCAATAGCTATGCTAGTGTGAAGTCACAAGTCATCATGGCCGAGTGCTTGAGCATGCTGGCCTTGTTCAGATTGTTGATCACGCTAGAAAACACGCTATTTTCCAGAAACTGTAACTAAGGTCTGTTCAGCATAGTTGCACTATGAAACACAAGTGGGCTCTGTGGGTGTTAAATAAACACAAATGTGCCTGAGTAAGCTTCATCAATAGGGATTGGCTAGCCACCCTAGTAGACGGGTATCCTTGAATATGAGTGGCCAGCTATACAATCTTAACCTGTTCAAGGCTAGGGTTAACCTAGCCACTCCTATCTGCACAAATTGTCTCTTGACATAACCATCTACTTTGAGTGGCCCCTGGGTCTTGTACAGGTTGAACCTTACTGTAAAAAAAAAACATTTGATATTTTCTAGAGTAAAATTTTCTTGAGTAAAATTGAATAGAATTAGAAAAAGAGGTGGAATGGAAGTATGAGTGAGTTAATTATATTTAAGTAATTCTTAATTTTAAATGTCCAGAATTTTTTTTTTTTTTTTTCATTTTAATCATTTTGCCCCAATCAAGGCAGTAAAGCCACTAAGACACAGAGGGTTACTGCATGTGAAAGAATAAGCAATAAGAGAAACATTGTGGGAGAGAAAGAGATCAATAAGAAAGGAAAAATGAACAGCAGTGTGAATAGGTAAGAGAGAGAGAGAGAGAGAGAACAAGAAATGAGAAGAGAAAAAAAGGAAAGCGACTGGAGGAGAAGTGTTAAATAGAGAGAAAGAAGGAAAGTAACTAGAGAAGGTGAGATGAGTAGAAATCTCTCTAGTCATCTCTCCTTCTCTAGAGAGAAAGAAGAAACAGAAGGAGAGATGAATAGAGACAGAGAGAGAAATAAGAAAAAAAGTGGAGGAGAAGTGATAAATAAGGAAAGAAAGAAGGAAAGAAACTAGAGAAAGAGAGATGAATAGAGAGAGAGAGAGAGAAATAAGAGAAAAATGGTGGAGGAGATATGGACAGAGAGAAATAAAAAAGACACTAGAGGAGGAGAGATAGAGAGAGAAAGAAGAAAAGTACCTAGAGAAGGAGAGATGAATAGAGAGAGAAACAAAGAAGAAACAAGAAGAGAGATGAATAGAGAGAAATAAGGAAAGAGACTAGAGGAGGAGAGATAGAGAGAGAAAGAAGAAAAGTACCTAGAGAAGGAGAGATGAATAGAGAGAGAAACAAAGAAGAAACAAGAAGAGAGATGAATAGAGGGAAATAAAAAAGACACTAGAGGAGGAGAGATAGAGAGAGAAAGAAGGAAAGTACCTAGAGAAGGAGAGATGAATAGAGAGAGAAACAAAGAAGAAACAAGAAGAGAGATGAATAGAGAGAAATAAGGAAAGAGACTAGAGGAGGAGAGATAGAGAGAGAAAGAAGAAAATTACCTAGACAAGGAGAGATGAATAGAGAGAGAAATAAGGAAAGAGACTAGAGGAGGAGAGATAGAGAGAGAAAGAAGAAAAGTACCTAGAGAAGGAGAGATGAATAGAGAGAGAAACAAAGAAGAAACGAGAAGAGAGATGAATAGAGAGAAATAAGGAAAGAGACTAGAGGAGGAGAGATAGAGAGAGAAAGAAGGAAAGTACCTAGAGAAGGAGAGATGAATAGAGAGAGAAACAAAGAAGAAACGAGAAGAGAGATGAATAGAGAGAAATAAGGAAAGAGACTAGAGGAGGAGAGATAGAGAGAGAAAGAAGAAAAGTACCTAGGGAAGGAAAGATGAATAGAGAGAGAAACAAAGAAGAAACAAGAAGAGAGATGAATAGAGGGAAATAAAAAAGACACTAGAGGAGGAGAGATAGAGAGAGAAAGAAGGAAAGTACCTAGAGAAGGAGAGATGAATAGAGAGAGAAACAAAGAAGAAACAGGAAGAGAGATGAATAGAGGGAAATAAAAAAGAGACTAGAGGAGGAGAGATAGAGAGAGAAAGAAGGAAAGTACCTAGAGAAGGAGAGATGAATAGAGAGAGAAACAAAGAAGAAACAGGAAGAGAGATGAATAGAGGGAAATAAAAAAGACACTAGAGGAGGAGAGATAGAGAGAGAAAGAAGGAAAGTACCTAGAGAAGGAGAGATGAATAGAGAGAGAAACAAAGAAGAAACAGGAGAACGATTAGTTGGTTGAAAGATCTGATTACTTAGATTCTGATCACTGTTAAAAGGTTTGATAACTATTAGAAAGGATTGATCCAGCTTATAAAGGTTTGATCACTGTTAAAATGATCTGCTCACTGTTAGAAAGGTCTGATCATTGTTAGGATGGTATGATCACTGTTTAAAAGATCTGATCACTGTTAGTTTTGATCATTGTTAGGAGGATTAAAAGGAGCTGCTCATTGTTAGAAAGGTCTGATCATTGTTAGGAGGATCCAATCACTGTTAAAAGGAGATACTCACTGTTAGAAAGGTCTAATGATTGTTAGAAACAGGAGAAAGAGAGCTGAATAGAGAAAAATAAGGAACAAGAATGGAGGAGAAGATATAAATAGAGAATGAAAGAAGGAGCGTAACTAGAGGATAGATGAATAAAGAGAGAGAAAGAAAGAATAAGAGAAATGAATAGAGATAGAGAGTGAAATAAGGAATAGGACTGAAAGAAGAGAGATGAATACAGAAAGAGAGAAAGAAGGAAAGAGACTGCAGAATGGGAAAAAAATAGAGAGAGAAAGATTGAAAGTAACTAAAGAAGGAAAGGTGAATAATTAGAGAGAGAGAAAGAAGAAAAAACTAGAGAAGGAGAGAATAAACAGAGAAGAAAGAAGTATCTAGTCAAGAAAAAGAGAGATGAAGAGAGAGAGAGAGAGAAAGAAAGTGGCAAGAGAGTGAGTGATTAATAGAAAGAGAGTAAGAAGGAAAGAGACTAGAGAAGGAGAGATGAATAAAAAGTGGGAGAAAAAGAAGGGAAAAGACTAAAGAAAAGGAGATGAATTGAGTAGAGAAGTGAAATGGACTATTGCTTGAGAAACAGAAAATAAAATTAAAAATCACAGAGAAAGAAAATGAAGATAAAACAAAAAATATTTTCAAGAAAAATTCTAAAGAAAACTGAAAATCTGAAAATGAAATAGAAAAGGGAAATGGGAAATATGAAAGTTTGAAGCAAAGAGGAAATGGAAGAGAATTGTGGGTAATGCCATAAATTCTGATAATACAGGAACGTCAATCGCCATCTTCTGCTGTCCTGAAATCTGTTCATCTTTTATCCTTTCCTCAAACCCCCCCATATACTCAGTCTTTTCTCTCACTTTCACTCTCTGTAACCACCTGCATACTAGTAGCACTCCTGCCTTGCTTGGGGTGAAATGATTAAAAAAAACAAAGGAAAAATATTCATAAAGAAAAAAACGACTGATAGTCAAAAAATAAAATAAAATTAGCCATAGGAAGATGAATATAAAAAGTGTGGGAGGCTTACAAAAGCATAAGTAAAAAAGAAAAATGAAGAAAAATAAAGGAACAACTAAAGTAGATGCAGAAATAAATAAAGGAAAAAATATGAAAAGCAGAGAATTGGAAAGCAGAAAATAAGGGAAGATTCACTCGGCTGCTTTGAAATGAAAGAGGATGTTTTCAATTCAATATCTAAGTGGGAAAGAAGTCAATATAAACGACTAAAATTTGCTTTTCTGAAAAATCAATTTCCAAATACACAATGTATGTGAGTTGCTCACTTGCAAACAATTGTGTCAAAATTTTTTCTCTTTCACTGGTTGACTAATTTTATATTAAACAAGGTTGTCGGGTACAGACAGTAATCAGACACTCTCCTTTTTTTCTCATTTATTTCATGTATAAACACAACTGAAAATTATTACAATAAAGACAATTAATTTAAGTATTAAAACATACAGAATTTACAATTATTTGATGGAGGATTTGATCACTGATAGATTTTCATCCTTTAGATTCTAACAATGATCAAACATTTTGACCCACTCCTTTTAACAGTAGTGAAAAACTCTTAACAATGATCAAACCTTAACAGTGAGCAGATCCTTTTAACAATGGCAAACCCTCCTAACAATGATCAGACCTTTCTACCAGTGAGAAGCTCCTTTTAACAAGGATCAAAACCTCCAAACAATCAGACCTTTCTAACAGTGATCAAATCCTCTTAACTATGACCAGATCTAATAGTGAGCCGATCCTTTTAACAGTGATCAAACCCTTCATAGCAATGATCAAATCTTTCTAACAGTGATCAAACTTTCCTAGAATTTTCTCTAGTCTCTTTTCTTTTTTACCCTCTTTCTATTAATCACTCACTCTCTTGCCACTTTCTCTCTCTCTCTCTCTCTCTATCTCTCTTTATCTTGACTAGATACTTCTTTCTTCTCTGTTTATTCTCTCCTTCTCTAGTTTTTTCTTCTTTCTCTCTCTCTAATTATTCACCTTTCCTTCTTTAGTTACTTTCAATCTTTCTCTCTCTATTTTTTTCCCATTCTGCAGTCTCTTTCCTTCTTTCACTCTTTCTGTATTCATCTCTCTTCTTTCAGTCCTATTCCTTATTTCACTCTCTATCTCTATTCATTTCTCTTATTCTTTCTTTCTCTCTCTTTATTCATCTATCCTCTAGTTATGCTCCTTCTTTCATTCTCTATTTATATCTTCTCCTCCATTCTTGTTCCTTATTTTTCTCTATTCAGCTCTCTTTCTCCTGTTTCTAACAATCATTAGACCTTTCTAACAGTGAGTATCTCCTTTTAACAGTGATTGGATCCTCCTAACAATGATCAGACCTTTCTAACAATGAGCAGCTCCTTTTAATCCTCCTAACAATGATCAAAACTAACAGTGATCAGATCTTTTAAACAGTGATCATACCATCCTAACAATGATCAGACCTTTCTAACAGTGAGCAGATCATTTTAACAGTGATCAAACCTTTATAAGCTGGATCAATCCTTTCTAACAGTTATCAAACCTTTTAACAGTGATCAGATCTTTCAACTAAACAAAACTTTGTAACAGTGTCGTCTCACAATAGTCAAACCCTACTGACAGTTCTCAGATATTTTCTAACACTGATGTAACCCTTCTGATGGTAATCAAACCCTCTTAACAATACTAAAATCATTTTTATGGTGAACAAGCCCCTCTAACAGTAATCAGACCTTCTAACAATAGTCAAGCCCTACTGACAGTTATCAGATATTTCTAATATTGATCAACCCCTTCTAATAATGACCAAACATTTCTAACAGAGATCAAACACATCAGTGTTATTTTTAAGGACATTTTTTATTAATTTTCAGTAATGAAAAACTTTGTCCTACATTGCTCACAGCCTAATTTAAGGGATAGGAGGAATTTTCATGAATACTCAATAAAAGAGATGTTTTGAATAATGCATAGTGTTGCACCTGAATAGAATTTGCCCACAATATCTTTCCAGATTATCAAGGTAACCAGGTAAGAGTTTGACCAGAGTTGAAGTCCAAATGCAGAAATTATGTGATATCACAGCTTCACCTGGTTTTTCCAAGTGTGGGAATAAGCTACATGACAGAGATAAATATATAAAGAACCACCCCAGAGAGGAATTGGACAGTCTCTCAGACATTGCACATGAGAATGTAAGGTCCATGTTTCAAATCAGGCACCACAGAGATATAAACTCACACTCTTGCTGACACTAACTAATAAAGTACTGGAGTGAAACACAATTTAATATTAAATACGAGGGATTCAAGTCTAATGTTATCATTGGTTGGTATCTCTATTTCATAATAAAAATGTTGGGTGGGTAGGTCTCCAAAAAAGAAGACTTGCCTCAGATCATCTATTTGAAATCCAAAGGTAGTTATTACATTTTGCTTAATGCGGTACTAGAATGGAGGGAAATGGGAGAGAAAAACTGTGCCATACCAATCTTCTCAGTTGGAGACAGTCTTCCTGTCCTGAAAAAACAGCATTTGAAATTGCTGCTTTTTATCTGTGTCAATAGAAAATACACAGCTATCTCTGCTATAGAGGAAGTCACAACAGGAATTGCTATGTAAAACTAGTCTCCTGTATAGCAATAAGTGCTGGACAATCATCACATAAATGAAGAGACTTTAAAAACATAGACTTGGTTCAACCAATGAATGTCAAGAATAGCATGGACTGAACATGTCAGCAATAAGGAAGTTTTAAGGAAAAAAGGAACTACAAAGAAACTGATGTTAACAATCAAAAAGAGACAGTTGAAATTTCTGGAACACATAATAAAGAAAGAAGGCTTGGAAATTTTAACACTCACAGAACATATTGAATGCAAGAGAAACAGGAAAAAATAACAAGTAAGCTATTTAATGAGTGAGTTGAATGGATGGCAAAAGAAGAACTAAGATGGATGGTAAAGTGTCAAAAGTTACTTAGAACAACAAAAGACAGGAAGTTGGGAAGAGCCATAATCACCTACTTAATGAGTGAGTGAATTGATGGCAAAAGGATAAAGAGGGATGGTAAAGTGTCAGAAGTTACTAAGAGTAACAAATGACAGGAAGTTGTGGAGAGCCATGATTGCCCACATCCTCAAAGAATATGTTACATTAAAGAAGAATAATCTATGAAGTTAAGTAAATTTAACCAAAAGTTAATGGTGTTGTTATTGATTTTGTTATATATTTAATTATTATTTATTTATTAATTTTCTTGATTTTCATCCTATTTTATTTATTCATTTATTTATTTATTTAAGTAATTCTTAATTTTAAATGTCCAGGATGTTTTTTTTTAAATTTTAATCATTTTGCCCCAATTAAGGCAGTAAAGCCACTAAGACACGGGGGGGGGGGTACTGATTGGGAAAGAATAAGCAATAAGAGAAACATTATTAAGGAGTGAGAGCAATAAAAGAAGAGGAATCACAAAGACAGAAGTTAACCGTTTCCTTTTAATATAAAAAATCAACAGTATTCTTTATCGATATTATTTTGAAGTGTGAAAATCAGATTACAAAATTAAAATTTCCACACTTGTTAAAGTTCATCAAGAAACAAAATGCCTTGATATGAAAAAGTTTTCCCTCTTGTCTTTTATTTTATGTATTAGGAAATGAATAAAACACTTCTGAAATATTAAATAACTAATTTATTAGGTTGTCACACATGAAATGATGCACTTTATAGGAAATGAATAAAACGCTTCTGAAATGTTAAATAACTAATTTATTAGGTTGTCACACGTGAAATGACGCACTTTATAGGAAATGAATAAAACGCTTCTGAAATGTTAAATAACTAATTTATTAAGTTGTCACACATGAAATGATGCACTTTATAGGAAATGAATAAAACGCTTCTGAAATGTTAAATAACTAATTTATTAGGTTGTCACACGTGAAATGACACACTTTATAGGAAATGAATAAAACGCTTCTGAAATGTTAAATAACTAATTTATTTAGTTGAAATAGGCACCATGATAATGAATAACTGTTCTTCAACGTACCTCTAAATTCTTGCAGCAAAATTGGGCCATCCTTATTCACAAGTCTAGGATGTTTCTTTTGCAATTTTTTGTGCATACACTCAATTTCTCCACAATACGAGGTTGCTGTTATTGTTTTCACTTGAGACAAGAATGAATAATGAATAACCCCTTTGAAAGACCACCATACATTAACCATTAACTTTTTAGGGTACAGTGGAGGTTTTGGGTATTGTTTTGGTGATTCACTTGCATCTAATCACTGGCCTACTTGCTTACTGTTGTCAAAGTGTATCTATTTCACATCGCATGTAATGATTCGATGCAAAAAATGGTTCTTTTTCCCAGTTTGTACTCATACAGTAAGATTACTCGACATTGTTATATTGTAATCATTTTCAATATTCTTATGAGTCACAATATATTAAAAGAAAAAGAGCCAGGAATAAGTCTAGATTTTTTTTATATGCTAAGGAGTTTACTTCATTAGACAACCAGATCAACAACCAACCAAGAAATGTGTCATTTCATGAGTGACAGCCGAATATAAGTATATATATTTATTATTTACACTATTTACAATGTTTGGACTGTTGCTATATTTATGACTTATTGGTCATTATACGCTCAGGCTATCCCAGCAGATAAAATAAAGGGTTCAGTTTGAAATTCCAGTTACCTGAAGAAGGCTGGAGCATACAATGGCTGAAAGAGCGTGAATATGGCAACAAAGGATAGGACAACAGTCGGAACAATGTAAATAGTGTAAATAATTACAATAACTCATCTTAGAAATAGACAGATATATTTAATACAAACATTATTACAGTGAACACACACACACACACACATATATATATATATATATATGGTTGGTTAAAGACAAGTCATATATATCTATATATATATATATATATATATATATATATATATATATATATATTGATTGATTAAAGACAAGTCATATATATATATATATATATATATATATATATATATATATATGG